CCTGTGATAGACTGGTGACCTGTCCAGGGTGTCTCCTGGGATAGACTCCAGCCCCCCGCAACCCTCGTGAGGATTAAGCGGTGTATAGATAATGGATGGATGGATGGATCCCTTATTTATTTCGCCTGTAGATGATATCTAGTAAAATTACAGCCAATAACAAAAACACTGATTCACAAGTTCACTGGATAAAAAAAGGCCAACACTGTGGATAAAATGCCATCAAATATCAAAATGGTTACAGATAGTCACTTTTATTCTTTTAATTCTACAATTACACCGTATTTACTGCACTGTACTTTAAATTAACTAAAAAAGTCTTATTATTTTACAGATATTTGCTGTCATTTGAAAGAAAAATCTTCCATGTATAAGATTTTAAAGCATAAATCATTTTTAAAGTGGTATTTTACAGATTGTCCAGTCTAATAAAATCACAGGGGGAAGAAAATTATTCACAAGTTCAGTGTAAAAAAAAAAGAAAAAAAAAGGATAAAACACCATCCAATATCCAAATGTTTACAGATAGTAATTCATTCTTTTACAATCTGTGCCTGTAACATCATGCTGTTATACTGTATTTAAATCAACTACAAGATATATAGTTATTTTACAGATATTTGATGTTATTTTCAGAGTTTTAATAGTTTTTTTTTTTATGTTTGTTTAATGCTCATAACTTCTTTTTTATGGGCCCCTTTCAACAGTTTATGATTGGATTTTTTTTAGCAGTTAGTCAAACATAACAGCAGCTTGCCTGTCAGCATAAAAACCAGAGCTACTGAAGACTACGTCACCTCAATGATGGACCCATGAAGCATCATGTTGAACTATAAATGATCTAGTCGGCTATTTGTTATCTATTTCGAAGCAGGCCGTGCCCTGCGAACATTTTCATCGCTCACATGTTTGGAACCATGAAGCAGCTGAGCCACCAGCAGCCAACAACAACCAGTAAGCTGGAACCCAGCAGTCTTATCGGCCTTTCCTCTTTCGGTGCTGCTCTGGTTAGCGTCCAAGCTAAACTTGTTTTGTTTGCTCTCTGTCCCTCACAATTCCCCTAATGAGTCTCGGAGCAACTTGGAGGTTTAAAGGTTTAAATTTTGAGACGACTTTGACATCAGTCACATTAATACATAATCAAGCCATTTGTCTCTCTCTCTCTCTCTCTCTCTCTCTCTCTCTCTCTCTCCATCTTTACATTCCTGTTCGACCGGGCGAACACTTTGTTCCTCTATAAGGATATGAGCAGCTGATTGCCTGTGATGAATGCACGTCCCCTCTGCTCTCCATGGTGGTGTGGAAAATATTTATGTTGAACGCGGTGCTGCTCCTTAGATACAGCCTCCCAGGCATTCCGTGACAGACAACTACTCTTTGGGTTTTAATAACAGCAGATACAGTTTGGATCTTCTTTGTGCTCAGCTTGTGATACCTTGCTGTTGGCTGAAAAACTCACCCGGTTATAAGAAGTGGGTCAAAATTGATCCCGTTTGAGTCAATGTAGCACAAACACAGAGTAGAAAACCCACCAAAGACAAAAGGGTTGTTTTAACCCAGTAACATACAGAAACGACACCTGAACACGGTAACAGTGATTTATAGTCATTTACACTGTGACAAATATATTTCATTAAGAAGAAAATTTTTTACATCTTTAAGATAAATATTGACAAAAGTGAATTACAAACCAACAATCCATCCTTTGCGAATTACAATAAAACTCTTACTGACTAGGCAGTTTTATAAAATGTGATTTATTCTTTTTATGAGACATTTATACATTGATATTTTGTTACAAAGACATCTGGTTTGAACGCACAGGAAAGGGTTTGGGCCTCCTGCAATTAGGAAACGCCTGAGCACCACCGCGTCTTTTATTGTGAACGGAAACTGAGTAAATCCTGTTATCTAATAATGTGATTACAAAACCAAACAGACCTGTTTAAACATCTAACGTCTGCACAGAAGCCCGACTTCCCCTCGGTTTACCCGTCAGTTACCAATACTTCATATGTGCAGTTTGTGATCAGAGGCCTCATATGCTGAGCAACATGGTCCACGATATGCTGCTATATGTTGTGCTGCTATTTAATTTTTGTTGTGTGTCCGGGTTAGATTTTGATACTCTGTGCAACTTGTAATCTTCACTGTACAGAAAAAGCAGGATTTGTTGCATCCCAGTCGAGACACGATCCTACATTGCACACAAATGTCCAATGATGGAGGAAGACTTCTAATTCCAAACTGAGCAGCTGACCTTTTTTTCACACAGTATTTTTCTAACATGCATGAAGGGGATCTTTATATATTTATGTGGCATGAGGTCACAAACTTAAAGATAATTCTCAAATATAAGCAGGAAAAACATACATACATGAACCTATAGGCAAGTAATAGGAAAACAACACTTCAGTAACAACACCAAGTCCCCATCGACTAGTCTCGACCCCCCCTTCAGTCACCCTCTGCATTATTGAAAGGGGCGGTCTGGAAAGAGTCTAAGCGGATCCTGCGGTGTTTTGTGTGTGTGACTGTGCGTGCACGTGTGTATGTGCGCGTGTGTGAGAGAGAGAGAAAGAGAGAGAGGGAGAGAGAGAGAGGGAGAGAGGGAGGGGGGGAGGCTACTGTGACAACGCTCCTTGATGCACAAGTGCCGCAGCCGGGTGAACCGTTATTGTCACTTTGTGCGCAGCCAGAACAACCGTCTGAGCGTTTTGGGTTGTTTTTTTTGGTTTTGTTTTTTTTTGCTGGAGATAAATACAAAAGCCAGTGACATCCAGCCGACATGGGGAAGGTGGAAGGAGGAATGAAATGCGTGAAATACCTTTTGTTCGTGTTCAACTTCATCTTCTGGGTAAGTGCACCTTTGGCGTTACGCTGCGTAACGGTGAGATGCAAGCTGTGCGTAAATAAACAGCCAGCAAGTGCAGCAGAGCAGAATGGTCGCCTGATCGCTGCACTCAGCTGACTTTCACACCCACGTGGGAGTTTCACGGCGATGCTAAGGTGTTTCTATTCTTTTTTTTTAATTTTACATTTTATGGATGTGTCCTTCTTGTGTGCTTTATTGAGTTGTTGTCCCGGCGTGGTTTCAGGCTTACTCTGCGTGGCGCGGAAAGGGTGACAGCTCGAGGTTCTTTTTTTTTTTTTTTTTAACTTTTGGCTCACCGGGCTCAAATCAGATTTTCCACAGAGGAAAAACCCGCCCCCTTTTTCCCGGGGAAGCGTGTTTTTGAAAGGAAGACTGAATGAAAAGACAGAGAGGCTGAGAGAGATTGAGGAACAGCATGGAAAACAAACTTAGCGCTTGGCTCTCTGTGCCACATTGCTTCATTAAAACGCACTGCAAAGCTGATTGATAAACTGACGTTAGGACCACAAGTTCCCTCCCTCTGCTTCCTCTTGGGCACCGAGGAGGAGGAGGAGGCCCTAGAGAGTCACTTTACTCAAGACAAACAGTCAGGTGGATGTGAAAGGTGTGTGTTTGTGGGTGAGTGTGTCTTTGCACACATGCTTCTGCCTTCATAAACCCTGACATTCCTGTTAAAGTCCATTCAAAGTGTACAGCTTTACACAATAAGTCTACAAGATGTTGATGTCCTTCATAGATAATCTTTGTGTTTGGGTGCACTTTGCTTTATTTGTGCCACACTCATGTAGAAGTTACTTTGTGTGTGTGTGAGAGAGAGATTTTCCAGCAAGCATCTGTGGAGTGGATCAGGCGCCGAGTACACTGTGAATGGATCCATTGTGACAGCAGGACAATAGCATAATTTCAGTCTGCTGCTCCTGCCTGGCTAAGCAGCAGAGCCTTGTCGGAGCCCTAAACGCAGCAGTCCCCACCACCGGCTGCCACCGAGTGTGTGGACACATGCGGCGAAAGACAGGTGAAGACGAGGGAGGGAGGGAAAGAGGCATGGATTGCTGCCTGGAGGGAAATCTCAGTGACAGAAGAAGTGCAAAGTGAGAAAGACAGTGAATAGGGATAGTTGAGAAAAGGGTCACCGGGAGATTGAGAGGGATATTCGTGTGCGCGTGCACGCGGCCACATGGCAAAAGAGGGACAGTTGGCATGAATTTGACCCAGATAATGACAGTAAAGAGATGAGGATATTGAGTATTCTGTGATTGTGTGTGCTGTCTCAAGACCACAAATAAAACCCTTCTCCTCAGTTTCTATCTGCAGGAGTTCTGCACATTCCCCGCTCTTGGTTTAACAACGATAACCCACCGCTCATAATCACAGCATCCCAATCCCCCTCTGGGCCGCAGCTCTTCTCTGTTGATTGTGGAGTGAGACATGAAGAGAAGTATGAGAGTGATGAAAGCGGGTGGAGGAAGGGCAGATATGATGCCTATCAAATCCCCCCCCGAGAGCCCCAGTTGACTGTAAAGAGGACTCTGTTGACTATTGAATGTAGTCAACAAGCAAACACACTTTAAACGAAGATATTTTATTGTTCTTTATCAGGTGGATGAAGGTTGGCATATACATACTTAACAACCGCCGTTATTTGAAACACACAAATGCAGAATTTTGTTTTTAAATCTCTCTCACTGCAGGCCACAGCTTCATGGTGTAGTTAGATTCCTGCTGAGCTCACTTACTATATTTTTGCTGCAAACAGCGGGACACCTTGAAAGCTTGTCCGGACCGTGTTTGTGATTTAGTCAAAAATTAAGCTTGTGAGGTAAACAGTGCAGGGCAAACATGGCGTCACAGTGGTATGCACAAATGCACAAATAGTGTACTTTCCCATGGATTTTCCCTCAGTGTTCTTCCTCTTGATCTAAAACAATGTTTGGGGAAAACCATTTGGTTAATGGTTCACTTGGTCCAACAGAAAACAATTGTCTTTGTCTGTGTGCATATATCCTCATTTTTATGAAAGTCACATCAGGGCTTAGGATTATGGTTTAAATCACTTTCAAGATCCTCTATCTTTCTCTGTAGTGTGTAAGACACACTAAATTAATAATATAACTGTCAAATGATCAAATCGATACGCAGATCATTTCACTTTAATAATTTAATGAGAACTGTAAATAAAGTAGCCTGGTAGGTAAAGCACCATTTACTTTATAGGACTAAATGACCAGTAATGTCATTCAAAACCAGTGAGTGCCAGGTGCATTTACAAACAGAGCTAAAAATATCACATTGTAGTGTCGCCCCAAGCAGTTCTGTGGCATTTAAACAGGACAAGTCAGGGACCATCAACTCATCTTTAAATGTTACAACTACTGACATTGCAGAACCCACAATGTCACAACAACGTAAAGGATCCTCCTTTTAGTAAGCGTTAAACCTGCCGCCCATGTCATTCTATATTTACAATAAAAACCATACTGTAAAAGAGATCTTTCTAGTAATTTAGAAAACAAGCCTTGTCTGAATGGTATAATTGCACAGCTTTATAACCTTGTGATGCTGTTAGCTCATTCAATTTGCCATATGTCTGTTTCACATTAAACCAGAAAGTGGAGTTTTAATCATCGGAGGTGACGCTACCACATCATTTGGAGCGGATTTTTTAATATATGTCCAAGAGTGACGTTGTGAAGATTTCTAGCAGCATTCACTGACCTAAAAATCTGTGCAAATTCTAAATATTTTTTCCTGCAATGTAGCCCTACAGACACATTATAGCAGAGGTCCATGTGTGCCGTTCCTCTCCACCCCTCCTTTTCTGTCGCCGAGTACAATAGGATTTACTCCACCCATAATTATCTCACTCTTATTTACACTTTCCTCCTGCCCATCATTTTTAATGTGCCCTTGCATCTGTTTTCTCCAAACATGAGCCCGACAGCAGGCTATTTTTTGACCAGCTTAAATCACTCACCAATTACTGCTGGATTTTTAAGAAGCAGCTTGTAACTGTTTTGCTTTCATATACTATTTTTTGCTTTAATTTACAGTAAAGCTCCATTTTTTTTTTCTAACCTAAAAAGCGGATAATGCCGCAGACTGTCTCTGACCAAGACCACAGCCCTGTGTCAGCTCAGCCCCTGTTCTCATGGAAATTCCCCCTCACAAAAACACTATTTAACTGCACCGTTAAAAAGTCGGGCCCTAAACTGTAAAAGAACCTCAATAAAGCTTCGACACAGAGATTTCCATTCCCGCCTAGGAATATCCAGACACACAAACTATCTTCAGAGGTATTGGGACCAAAAGAGGACACGGGGGACTTCTTATTCTCACTCCTGTGTGTGTTTTAGAAAAAAATATAGACTCTACAGAACCTGTGTAGGACACAGGTTAGAGTTTGTCTTGCAATAAGATGCTTCTTTTCCTGCAGGCAGAGAGAAAAAAAAAAAGAAAAAAGGCTCCTCTAATGACTCTTTTTTCCTCTCTCCCTTCCCTATTTCATTCTCCCGTTCATTGTGTCTGCCGGTTTCCCTCCCATTGTGCACTAAAGCATATAGTCACAGGGAGACAGTGGGTCTTTGTCCTTTGGGTGAGACCGGGAGGGAGAGGCCGAGATTGTGTGGGGTGTGGAGGAGGAGGGGGATGCACGGGGATAAATCAGGGGGTGGGAAGGGAGGGTGAGTGGGTGGTAAAGCTGGGGGGTATGAAAGCAGAGAGGGTGTTAATGGGACCGCTGGGATAGTCGGCCTCGTGAGTGCCAGTGTCGGGATTGTATTTAGCATGTCAGCTATTGACTGCACTGTTTTTGAAATCTGGTTTTGAAAAGGCTTTTAAATGGAGCCATAACAGTAATGAGGTTTGGCTGAGCGCAAAAACCTCCTTTCAACTGCGAACCAACCACCTGCTCCTCCACACAGCACCGATCCACAGTAGCTCGTGGACGGCCGATAGCTGCTAGCAGCGTGTCCATGATATTCAGCAGGCCTCACCTCACGCTTCCCCCCTACATCAGGTGTTTGGACAAATATCATTGTTAAATAGATCCAGAGCAGCTCTTCGCTTTAACCAGTAGATCTACAAGCCTTTTGCTCCGCTGTGCTTTATCACTTTGGACCAACTAATCCCACAACCCCCGAGAGCTCAGCTGTCCCATACATCACAGCGCATGACACTAAATCCTCCATTTGGGAGGAAGCCGGCTTCCCAGCACCTGTCCCATTCCAATGCTTTACAACTGAGCCACTGGCTTGACTTCAAACCAACACCATAAAATATAACCTGTGGATGGAAGGAGACGAGCGTGGACGGTGAGGATGAGTTACAGAAGACAAAGAGCAAAAAAGGAGAGCTCGCAGAACCAGGAAAAAAAAACCTGAAACAAGAAGGCAATTTAAAGATGAGGCTGTTTGCTTTTGCCTCAATTTGGCTACAGGGATTGTTTTATTTTTTTAATAAATGCACTTAAAAAAAGAGCGTAAGGGCCTAAAAAAACAGTCACACAAACAGTGGTCTACCTAAATTCTAGATCTGGGACACAGAGAGGCCATGTGACCAGCGCTCCTAAATACTCTCCATTTAGACGAATCATTTTATTCCTCTGCACGCGCACACGTGACGACACTGTGTTGTTTTGAAGCTCAACTTGAAGGTTTTCAGACTGGATTATCCTCGGGGGGTACGAGCTGAGTGATCATTAAAACCTCTCAGTATTGATCTGTCAGCAAAGCGCCCACCACAGCCTCTCTGTCCTTGAGAGCATCTCGGATTTCTGAAAACAAAAAAACTCAGCTTTTACCTCAGTGTCTTCTCACCACTTAGAGAATAAGCGTTTTATTTTTTTTGCTGTAGCCCTGAAGCAAGAACCTTGACTATGATTTTGCTCGACGTATAGTGATGGAGGTTTAGATGAAGGAAACTATGAGTAACATGTAACCACATTTCCAAACAAACAGGAGAGCCTGTTTAAGCTCAAGGTGCCACGCTGCTGCCCACAGCCAAGCGGGTCATTTTCTCCTTACTTGCACGATGGCAGAGGGGTGTTTTAGAAGTTACATAACTTACATTTGCTGGGATCTATTAGTCTGGAACTTTTAGATGAATGACCCATGGTGGAGACCAAATATCTAGACCCATTGTTTTGACACAAGATATAACATTGTAGCCATCTAGCTCTTGAAATTATACCCCTGTTGCCTGCAAAGTGGAAAGGGTGGAAGGGCCTGAGTGGAAAATCACATTCAGGGGGGAGTTAAGGAACAAGCCGTCTGAGGGACTTGAAAAACATGCCGGTCCACTGTTGAGCTTTAGATGAAAAGAACATTGTGATGAAAGCTGAAACAAATTTGCCAGAATGATGTCAGATCTAAAAACCGAGGATAGAAATTACATGAGAAATAGGCCTCGTTGTGAAACACGAGGCAGAAAATTGACTGTATTTCTACAACCAAGTGCCAGTTTTATGGTTATTAATGTACTTTCATCACCAAAGAGAAAGATCAGGATTCAGTATTTATGAAAGTTTTAGCTGCAATTAATTAAACACATGAATCTCAACGGTGCATTGTTACACACCCTCCACTTGCCTATAAAAGTTGTTGTTTCTGTAATCAACATGTGTGTTTTTTGTTTTAACATCTCTCTGTTTCTGTCTCTCTTCAGTTGATGGGATCCTTTGTTCTGGCAGTGGGGCTGTGGCTGCGTTTTGACCCAGAAACCGTCTCCCTGCTCAGTGGCGATAAGGCTCCAGATACCTTCTTTATTGGTGAGTGCCGCAGCACAACCTCCGCTAATCTCTACAGTCAAGTGCAACAATACACCGAATCACATTCAACGCAAAGCTGTTGATCCAGTACATGTGTTGAACAATTCCCCACATGTTTTGTAAAAATGAATCCGTTCGAGTGCGGTTGCTGTCAGCTAAAAATGATAAATTGTGCATTTGCCACCGCATTGGGTTGTTTTGCTTAAAAAGAGCTGCTTGGGTGTGTGTTTTAAATATATGTTGCTGGGAAACCACTCTAAATGGGTCATGGGAAGGTCTGTTGTTTTCTGTCAGCAATTAAGCTGAATATTATGAATAGAAATGGCAATTTAAGGAACATTCTTCTTATTTTGGCATCATTCAAAATACATGGCATCATCTTATCACACCAAGCTATAAATTCTACGAAGTGTGTGACTGTATTAGTTTGATGGATGTACAGATAAAGGTTTTCCACTTACCTATTATTGTCAGAATAGAACGTTAAAGTTTCCTGCTAGAGATAAGTGTGAGTAACAGGAAATTACTGTTGCATGAGGGAAACTACCAGAGGTTTGTACATCTCATTTCAACCTGTCACTCTACCCCCAGACGGAAAGAAAAAAAACAAAGGAGGGCAGTGGGGGCATTTCAACAAGCAGATGAAAGAGGGCAATCATGGACATCATAGGAAACATGTCAAGCCGGAACAAGATTGGACACAGCTTGAAATGGCAGTGCAGAATGTAGAAGAGGAGAGGAGGGGTGGCTCTACAAGGGCACATCTTAATAACATGCACTCCCACCACACTGCAGTTTGTGTGATCTCCAGAGCAGATCCTTCCATTCCTGGCCGACTGTATTTTCTTCTCCAAAATCAGATAAACTGTTAAGAAGTATATTGCTTTGTAATGATAAACTGGTGTGTCTTTTCTTACAAACTCTTTTAACGCTGTAAAGGTATTTCACCGCCTCTCTGTGTGCCAGTGACCTACACTCAGATGTCCATGTGATTTAACTGAGGATGGCTGGCTTCTGTCAGGTCCTTTGAGATTACAGCGCTACACATGGCTTTGACAGTGAGAGCGAGTCCCACAGGCACAGCTGAGAGTGCTCAGCAGTTGCTGTGGCTCGTTCCCATGGCGTCAAGTCCACACAGAGCTCCTCTTTTCTTTGTGCTTAGACATGACGTACGATAAAAACACGACAATAACTTTGGATTAAAAGACAAAAAAGGAAAAACAATGCGATGTTTTTCTTCCAAGCAGAGACAGTTTTGTTGAGTTTATAGCACAAGGGAGTGCAGAAGCATCACTTGTCAGCAGATGGAAGAAGTTAAAAGCTCATCAGCGCTCTGAATTGGCACCACAAACTAAACTAACAACTGAAGAAAACGCCACTCCCAGTGTAATCGTTGTGTTTTATGTAGACACGCTGAGAGCCCATGAACTGTCTTGTTCCCACCTGAGCCCGTAGTACTCGGGGGGCTGATGTGTCCTCTCTCAATTCATCCTCTGTGGAGCCGTTGCCTTGCAACAGGCCTCACCTGTATCAGAGCACAGTGGTGGCACCACAGTGTTGAGCTCATCCCCGCAGACCTACTGATGATGCATGTTTCCTAATGAGATGATTAATGGGAACTAAGAGAACTTGAAGCATCCCACTTAGGGCTCTCATTAAACCAGACTCGAGCTAACAAGGGTGTTTATAAGGCATCATAAGTGGGTCTACTGTTGGGCTCATATTTTATTTACAGTTCTCAGTTTTTTTTGCAACTGGGATAGATAGATACAGTCGTCCTCAAATTTATTCAGACCCTTCCATTGAAGAAAAGCAAAATTCACAACAGTCACTCAAATAACTAGAAACTGAAAAAAGTAATAATAAACAAATAAATAAAAAAGCTAAATTCTAATTTAGTGAAACAAGACATTGCTTTTGAATTGTGCTTAAAAAGAATAATTAAAACAAACAATACTGTCCAGGACAAATCAGAGCACTTTGCTGATGAGCAGTGGGACAAAATACCTGTCAACAGGTGCAGAAGTCTGATTGAGAGTTATAGAAAACACTTGACTGGCTCAAAGGGTTGTTCGACAACATATTAGTTCATGGGTCCCATCATGCTTGTTTGCTTGTTTTATTTTTTATTTTTGAATATTTCTGTTGAACCACAATTCAAAAGCTATGTCTTGATTTTCATTAAATTCTTATTTATTATTACTTTTGTCAATTTAAACTTATTTGACTGACAGCTGTTTTTTTTTTTTTTTCTTTAACGGGAGGGTATGAATACATTTGAGGACGACTGTACATGAAAAAAGAAAAAACAATTTCAAATAAAAAAGACGCTGCTGTCTTTTACAACATTTACACAGTAGTAACATCTTGGGAGTGAAGATGAGCAACAATAAGAAATGACTAAAGCTAAGTTCCATATCCTTTTATATTACAAGACAAACCAAGGTCCTTATGTATGTGATGTGATGCAAAAGGCATCCTCTTAAATCTATCCTGTTTATTTGGTTTGTAGAGATGCATTCTTTCTGTTTGTACAACATCTCCTTAAGTCAGTGTGCAAAGCTGGGCGGAGAGGAAGAAGTCAGAGGAATAAGTTTCTTAGCAACCAGGTGCCCAGGTGCACAGCAATCTGCACATCAGATGAAAGTTCAACAGTCTGCAGCTTGGGCTTTTTTTTTTTTAGCACTTTAAAGTGACTGTCTCCACTTGCATTCCCAGCTCTATGCTGCCGCCTTTTGGTGACTCTGTGAAGTAATTGCCGGATGATTGAGCTGGGAAAAACTGAGCATGTTAACAGGAGTGTAGTGGGCAATCAAACCCAGGCACTTAGAGAAGCACAGTGAATGCACTGTTCATGTGTACAGTCTATCAAACTAAGTGGTATTCTAATTGTGGTTTTCCTTTTGTTTACCATCACTATCACTGCATGTAAGCAACATCTTCTGTTGTGTTTTTCTGTTCCCCAGGTGTGTACATACTAATTGGTGCTGGCAGTCTGGTGATGTTAGTCGGCTTCTTTGGCTGCTGTGGAGCTGTTAGAGAATCTCAATGTCTGCTGGGTTCAGTGAGTACAAACTCATACAAATAAGGAGAAAAAAATGATCTGAAGTGCACCTTTATCCTGTTTACAAGTATTAAACACTTAATGTCGACTATTTTTTGGGGTTTTTAGTTCTTTGCCTGCCTGCTGATCATCTTTGGTTCCGAGGTGGCAGCAGGGGTATTTGGATTCCTAAACAAAGACAAGGTACATTCATAATTTCACCCATTTAGAAGTTGATGTCTTTGAGTGATTCAATCAACACCTAAGTGGCACCCAGTCAATCACTCATCCTTTCTCGCGCAGATAATCGAAGATGTCCAGAACTTCTACACAAAGACCTACAATGAAAACAGCAACGGCACATTGATCATGTCTTACCAGAAAGTAGTATGTAACAAGAAAAAAATCAGTGTAAAATAGCATTACTTAAAAAAGCGTTGCCTTTTAAAACATTTTAATGTTTTGTTTCCATTCTTAGCTGAACTGTTGTGGAACCGTGGCGAGTCCGTGCCCTGATCTCGAGCCAGATACCACGGTAAGACCCGTCATCGGCTCCAGGCTCAGGGCGGAAATTAAATTCTGCTGCTTTGTTGTCTAATGAATGAGTCACGGGTACGATGCGAAACATCCCATTCGACTCCTCTCCTCTGTTCTCTGCAGGACTGTGAGAAGGGCATCAAAGAGTTCTTCAACAGTAAGCTCTACATCATTGGATACGTGGGAATTGGCATCGCTGGAGTCATGGTGAGTCAGGAGAAGAGACAAAAAGGCAGAAATCACACACTCAATTGTGACTGAGAATGATATGATTTCTGTTTTTGTTTTTTTTTTGTCTCCCAACAGATCATTGGGATGATTTTCAGTATGGTGCTCTGCTGTGCCATTCGCAACAGCAGGGAGGTCATCTAAGCTTTATCCTTCACTTCCTCCTGTGTCCAGCCCCTGTACAGCACTTCAGCTCAAATGTCAGCTCCTATCCATCATCCACGCAGGGACCCAGGAAACAGAACACGTTCAAAAAAATTCCTTTTCACTATGGTGCTCACACCCTCTCTCCTGGCCTGATCCTCCAATATTTTCTTCCTAGAATCATTCTTTATCTATGTCCAGTCACAAGTTAAGTAGTGCAATCTACCTTTTATAGCATTCTGATAAGACTGTCGCATATCAAGTGGGAATAGTCTCTAATTACCTGACAGTTTGTCAAATAGTTTTCCCTCATGGCCATTTGGCCACCGCTACAAATTTTGACCCACATACTGTCACAGTAGTGTCAATGCTTTTTCACATAGCCTTGACACTGACCTCTTGCCTGTGGGAAACTAAAGCCCGAGAGAGCAATCTGAGGCCAAAGCAGCTGAGTTTGCTTATTTGAACACACAAGAATGAAAACACACACATAGACGTGCACGGACATACAAACACAGCAATGTTGTGTTACATGAGACCGCAGCCTTAAAAAAGGTTTTTCTGGCTCCTGGAAGCGAGTCCTGATTGGTGGAATCAGAGGACAGGAGTGTCAAGAGAGGGAATGACTGGTGAATGTTTCAAATGCATCCATCATGTAACCCCAGCACTTTTACTAACACACACACACACACTATACACACACTCTTGGAACCGCTCAGACCGCACAGGTTGCTCTCTACAACGAAAATCCAGTTGTTGTAAAGGAATAGTTTGACTTTTTGTTGCTTTATATTTATTATACAGGCATGAGAGCATGACGAAAAAGTAAGTAGGCATTTTTCCCAAAATGTCAAAGAGTTTCTTTCAACAACTATACCACTGGCTCGCATGTTCTAATGTGACATGATTTGCAGATATAAAAAAATAAATTACAGATAGGATTCCCTTTTTCGCTACTCGTCTGTTAGGCTGTGTGATCCAGTGTCATGAACACCCCTGCCTACTCTTTCTTTGATTATGTATACGCTCTCTTACATAAGAAAGTACACTTGGTGTCTGCCAACTGTATAGAAGACCCAGATCATGTGGCCATGTTTACAGGCTAAACTTATACTGGCCGGTCAATTGAGAGCAGCGAACTTTGGATTCCCATGTTCGGCCTTTGACCTCTTCCCACTATCATCTTTTTTTCCCCCCCTCTGTGCCTTAAAAGTACACCTCCCATACCAAGATCCAGTAAAATGGTTCCTCTTATTTCATCAACCTCAGAAAACCTAGGATCACTTAATTTATCCATGTCAAATCAGGCCACTGTAAATTTGTTTGTTCCAAGTGTCAGGACTCCAGTGTGTAAATATGTGTGGATTTTTTTTAGTTTTTTTTTTGTAGTTGTACATTATTTGTGGCTGATGTGTTAGTTACTATTTAACAAGCTGTGTGTAGACAGATGTTTGCAGTAGTTTGTACAGTGTTGTAGTCTTGACAGTGTTTGCAAATGTGGTCAAAGCAAATCCACACGGATAAAACAGCTTCTTAACGTGCCTTTCTTTGATAACAAGCTATTCTGTGAGCTGCAGGCTGTCTGAGCGTAGCAAATAAATGTAGCAAAAAGTGTACATATGTTTGTAGAGTTGGACTGCAATGAACTGTCACAGACGTTCAGTGAGTAGCACATATTAGCTCGTCTCGCCGCTGTTGTTTCGCCGTGTCACTTGACTGTCTTGCGTAAAGCAACAATTAGCTTGCCAACTATTTCAAAAGCCTTTTGGTACAAAGAAAGTCTCCTCTGAGGACTCTGAACAATCATGTTAATGTTAAGTTCAAATGATCACGCTATATTTGATGTAAGCACTGGTCAATTTTGCTTTTTTATGAGTTTTTTTTTGTTTGTTTCTTTTTTTGTTTTTGTTTTTTTTTTTCACTTCAGTGTAATGTGACACAAGTGAGGAGACAACAAAAGCTTCCTTACCACTTTGGGATGCCAGTAGGCAGTGTTTACTCTGAAGCGACACTGAAGAGTCACTAGACTGTCACTTCAGAGGCTCAGCGGAGTTTAAACAGTTTACTCCTACTCAATCCTCGAAGCTGTTGCTGCGTTCCTCAGTTACGTTTGTTCAAGCAAATCTGGAGACGAAACACGCTCCGCACCTAAAAAAAAAAGCACAGTCGAGCCTTTCATAGATGATTGTGTGTTAATTTATTTTCATACCATTCCAGGCTTCTCAGGAATATGGGTGTTTGAAGTTCAAATAAAGGTTTTAAGGTTTTACAGACTTTCCCTGTGTCTTCTTCCATCACAGAGATTTACATGTTTGTAGTTATTTTCAGTTACATTGAAATCTGGTAATCTTTTGTAGGAACTGACACAAAAAGAACAGAATGGTGTATAGTAATGATTTGATTCTTGCACTACTTTGGGCTTTTTTGGTTTTTATTGAAAATATTTTTGCATATACACTTCTGATTCTGGATAGAAGCCTCATGGCATGTGGGATTTTTGGATGCTTATTAACTTGTGAAGTCCCTTAGCATCTAAGATGTCTCTAGTGGTATCAGTCTACCATTTCACACAGGGCCTGAGTCATATATTCTGCTTGCTGCATTGGTTTCAGGCTCTGAAAATATATCAGTGACTTCCAGTCCTTTCCAGTAATGAAAAACAGCCTCCACATTTTGCCAAATGTCGCCCAAACACATTGATACTTCAACTAGAAATTATGAGAAAATGGCATGCTATGACAAAATTTGCAGTGTTGACATTCAAAAAATCCTTTTTTTTTAATTTCCTGGAACAGAAAAGGATCTCTAAATGTAGCATCGTATACTGTACGTGTGTGTGTAAATTTAGAAGGAATCAGTGATCCCCAGGAAAACCAGCGATATACCCTGTAATTAGGTAGGTTTCCAGGTTTAGTCACATCAGATTCATGCCAGAGGTTCACCTTTCTGCACTTGAGCTTTAAGGACAGCTGAATATTTAGTTATGGGCATAGTTATGCATGCAATGTGGCAGAGGCTCCAGGACTACCCAGGGTAAAGTTACCCCAACACTGCAGTATGAGCACTTTTACTGCCAAAACCTCAACCACGCTTGTGATGCATGTGTAGAGGAGTAGTGTAACACCTTTCAAGCTTGCATCAGAAAAAAAAAATATTCACTCAATCTGCTGCCCATTTCCAGTAGCTCTACTGACTGTAGTGATTACAGGCTTTAACGTGCAGCATTTCCAGCTACACACGCTCCACAAACAACACAAACAAACATGGCATTTATAAATATTTATTCACCATTTAGAAATCTGTATTTACATGCATAATTCCAAAATGAACTTAAAAAATAATAATTTTCTCAACTGGCTGGATTGACGTGCTGAAAAGTCAAAACCGCTCTTAGTTGGAGTCGAACTTGCACAGTTTGAGAAAAGTGTAACAAAACAAAAACAAATACAGAATACATATTTACATTGTTAAAAGCACCGTAAGCATTTTTGAGCCATGAAATTTTCCAGATGAGATCAACATTGTGCGCAGGTTTGCTTTCAAACAGCCCAACAGGACACATTTGCTTGTGCTCCTGCAACACTGACAAGAAACCAACGAAACAACCATAATCAACCAAGAGAACATGGCTACATGTTTAGAAGATGTTTCACTTGGTCCCAAAAGCTTCATGAATCCATCCATTAAGTCTTGTCTGCCATAAATTTCCTTTCCTTTACCATGAAAAGGCAGTTCTCCAAAGTTGGCCTCATTGAGTTATTTAGCCACAGAGCTCAAGTTTGAATCATCAGAACTGTCTAGGCTGCCATAGAAGAGATTCACTGTGCACAATAAAAAATCACATCAGCCACATGTTTGGGGGGAAAATTTAACTCCAGAAATCAAAACCACCACTCCTTTTTACTCAAGGTGATATAACACAGAATCCAAATATCGCAATCTGGTGAACAGACGATCCAAAAATGTAATTTGTTCCAAGCTATGACCACTTAAGCAATCTGTTTTCCAGATATTTTCTCATCCAAGTTGTTTCGAGGACAGCATGTGGAAATCATCTTGTGGAAGAAGTTATTTTCCAAAATATATGTACTTTAAAAACAAATATATTGTATATACACAGACTGGAATCGACATCCATGCCTTTGTTTTACATGTGACCCTTTAAAACAGCATTAAAGGTATTCAAGTAAAGTTTCAATATCCTGCCATTCAGAGTTGATGATACTTGGCACACTTGGCAGGTGGAGGGATGTGCAAGTTAGGATTACAGTCAAGGTTGAGTTGGGTGTTACATCTAAGAAAACAGAGGGAACGGTTTGATGCCACAGGAGTACAATCAAGTCTGTTCTGAGCAAAACGGTGATCAGTGTAGTCAGTGAGGGTAGGAACTCTCTTTTCTTGCAACAAGCTCTGCCAAAGCCCACAAACAGGTAAGGTTCTCTCTCAGTCTCTTTGATAAGAGATAGTCAGGCTAAAGGCATAAGTTGAAACCATTTTTGAAATAACATGGCATCTCTCTCTGGTCCCTTTAGCGTTTTACCCCCAAACCTCCAACAAGAAAGAAGGTACACAGTAACAGAGAGCTGAGTCCATTGCTGCGCCCAGGGCATAGCTGCCGTAATTTAATGAGACAGCAGAGAGACTTGGAAACAGCTTGTTTATGCAGAGTAGATGTTGTAGGGAGTATACCCCAACAAGAACTCTCCGACTCCGACAAAGTACACAACCTGGGCAATGCCAAAGAGTGGGGCAATAACCAGAGCCCGGCAACTGGCCCCCTTGAGGAACGCACCAGGACCTTCTTTTTTCAGGATTTTTCTGCATTGAAAAGGGGAGCAAAAAGTTAGCATGAAACTTACACTATGCATACCGCCCCTGATCAGGAGAAAGGCAAAGTGGTTGATGGTGTTGGTGAGGAATCAGATGATTAAGATTACCTGACACAGTCCACTACTCCATTGTAGGTCTCCTCATTTGCTCCCTTTTTGAGAGATTGTAGCCTTGTCTTGACCACTGTGCAACACACACAAAGCTTACTTTAGTTAAGAAAATCTAAAATATGTGAGACTATTTAAACTTTCAGTGAAAGTTTAACTAGCATCTACTTGGTGCTCCAAACATTGATTGGCTATTTGCACTGACTTAGGGTCCTCACCATCACAAGGGCTGACAGTCACAGCGGCGATCGATCCAGCCAAGCATCCAGACATAAAGGACCAATAGAAAGGCACAGATGGGTCTTCAGATGAATGTTGGCCGAGCTGGTGCAGATGTGCAAAAAGAGGGAAGTACACAACGGAGAACGGGATGTCCCTGAAAAGACAAAACAAACATGTTCACATTTATAGTCAGTGGACAAAAAGACCAAAGTTGGTTAGGTAAGACCAAGAATTACATTCCTATCTCACCTCATCAGTGTGGCCCCAAGTCCCCGGTACAGTCCAGTGACTCCTTTGGTACTCAGCAGCTCTTTGGTGATCTGTATGGCGGACACTCGCATGACTTGAGGGCTGACGTTATAGGAGCGGCTAAGAACGGCACTGGTCCCTCCCATCTTCAGAGTTGACACCACACTAGGCATCACCCTCTGCTGGGCCGCTGGCAGATACAGAAAACAAAACCTTTGCTACTAAGGCAGAAATTAGATCATTCCAAAACTAGATTTAACTGGAAAGCAAAGAGAGTTTTAGCACAAATAGCTGTAGATGAACTTACCTAGCCTGCCTGCATCCTGCAGCTGGATCTTCAACATCTCCATGGGTGTGGTGATGGTGACCTGGCACATTCCTGCACAACATCCCGCCAACATCTCCTTCAACACGGTCAACCTACCCCTAAGGATACATATGCACTGAGTTAAAAAATCAACAATGGAACATCATATAGATAGGAGTCTTTTGTATCTAGTGCTACTTACCCATCCTTGCTCAACTGGTGGCGAAAGAAGTCGTTAGCAGCTAGTTTGATGGCCTTCTCTGGAGTTACCAGGGTAAGATTTACAGCAGCACCTGCAACAAGAGGACCTGCTCATGACGAATTTAATTCTAATGAAGCAAAAACGCCATCACTCTTATTGACGCATGTCTGACAGCAAAGTTTGCACAGTGGCAGTAAACAAAGTAAACAGAGGGATAACACAGGAGGACTTTTTATTTACCGATTAGTAACACTCCCCATATCACAGAGCTATGGTTTGTGCCATAATTTCACTGCAAGCTGTGCATTAACAGAACAACAGAGCCAGTCAGTAGGTCACTGTGATCCACAACATGTTTTAATTGTCTTGCAAGATGAACCACTGACCCACTGAGCCATTTCTGCACAGGCTTACATGGAGTGTAATCAAAACACTGAGATGCAGAGCAGCATCTTCGCTGAGAGGCTGATGAAAATTGGCCAGGTTTGTTTTGGTTCACATGACAAACGTATTGGTTCTACCATTTTCAAACAGGATTAGGGAATCAGACCGCATCACACTCTCATTTTAGTAAAAGCAGGCTGAGATTCTCCTGTGTATGTCTCATTTTGGGTTCGAAACCACTTAATTCTACTGCAATTGTGGACATTTTGTGGAGTCTTACCTCTGTACATGCCAAAGTAGCCTTCAGATTTAACTGTCTTTATGAGGCAATCCATCCTGACGAGAAAACAATAAACAAATTAGCTTCAAAGAAAATAGATATGCTGCTATGTTAAATTTTGCTCTGCTGTCACAAAAATATACTGATAAATACTAATAATCTTGACACTCTGAAGGCCCTGGCAAGGTGGGGACGGCAGCATTTGCTGAATGTTTTCAAACTTGATATTTTAACGGAAAGACAGCTTCCTGTATACGTGTTACTGAAAGGTAATGAGGAATAGACTGGTATACTGTGCAAATATGCTTTTGTACTGTATGTGCATTGTGAGTCAAGACAAAGAGCAGTGTTCTGACACAACCATCTGTTTTGGTGGGTGTGGTTCGTACATGTTCTTGTAGAGCTGCTGCCCGCTGCGCTGGTTCTGCAGTCGGGTCTTGGCCAGGTCGATTGGGAACACACAGGTGACTCCTACCATGCCTGCAATCCCTCCATTGATCAATTTAGCTGGTAGGCTGTACGTGGACAAGTCACAACGGGTGTAGTGTAGTCATTTCTTTTCTCATCATACACAAGACAGGCTGGTTAACAAAGTGAGCTGAAACTGAACTAAAGCAGCATAATCTCCATGGAAAGCAACTGATTATGCTTCTTAAAGCCAAAGTGTTGACTTTATGTAAAGCATTAGCTTTGCAACCGAACTGGGTAAAGACTGACTAATCCAAAAATAACTTGTTGACAGGCTAAATCAAACAACATACACACATGTTTAAAGTGTTACACACCCTAGGGCTTCTAGATCTTGACAAACAACAGATGGCAAACTACATGCGTTTACTATGTAAAAATTCATGGAATTAAATGACAAAAAAAAAAAAAAAAAGCTCAATTTCTATTTTTCTCTCAGTAATTCGCATGTCATGCTGGACAGGTTCATACCTAATCTGCTGTTGCTGGGCCATGGTTCTTGGTTGTTGTTGGGTGCAAAAGTTGGTCAGCACAAAGGAGAAAGGCCGCAGAGGGAGAGCAGGCTGAGAGTCCCTGAGAGACACTGAGCAAGGCGAGAGTAGAGAGAAGCTCGGGGTTATATATATAGAGGCAAGTCCAGCCCTGTGGATCCGAGGATAAATAGGACATCACTCTCCACCCATTGCATCGCCAGCCAAGAAATAGAGCCAGGGCCCGTCATCACCCAACCAAAACTAACCCAGGGGTACACCTGCCTACTGTGTGAGGGAATCGTTTTCAACCAACTCCTCAGTTCTGAGTTTTGCAATCACAAACGCTTATTCATTTAGTGGGTGAAATCACAAATAAAGATAGTGCAATTCATTATTTATATCATATTTTGATTTGTTGAAGCCAGACAATTTAGATTTTGAAAACAAATTGTGCAGATTTAACAGACCTGCCGTGCTTCTTTGTAAGACGGACCAACTTGTCTCAGCAAGCTCAATAACAAGAGCATGATGCAACAGGCTGAGCTTGTTACTCGATGTATATCTCAAACACTGCTGCAACTATCAGTAAGCACAGAAATTAGACTTAATTTCATGCACATATTTATTTCCATGAGTCATTTAATTTATTTACTGTGGTAATACAAGTCACAAAGCATTCACAGGATTCTACTCCAATTTCAACTGCTAAGCAAACTAGTGAAAACATAACACGAACAGCTCTGGGGCATAAGTGTACTCCACTATATCAACAAGCAGAAGCACTGCTGGTCCATCTGGCTATTTGCCATGTTTGTGCATTGGTCGTATTAGCATATTGTCAGGTTTCCACAGTAGGCTGGTTCTTCATTCAGTCAAGTGTCACTGAGCATTGATGATAGGAGATCCGTTTGGGGTGGACGCAACTGAGATAGCGTGTGTCACAGCGACTACAGCTGCAGCATTGGGCCGCAGGATAGTACAGCTGTGAGCTGACACCCGGAGGGCAGCCGGGAATATGGGCAGCCCGGTACACCAGGGAGAGAGGCACACAGCTACGCTGGATCAAGAAAGTCCTCCCAAACCGTCCTTTCAAATTGGTGTCCTGGAGTAGAGAAAACAGGCCTGTTAGAGAGTGTGAATTAAATATTAATATTAAACAGTATGATGCTGTTTAAAGTGTCAAATATTCTTCTAATGTGCATCATCACATCAACATCTTTTCATAATATGCTTTGTTGTAAATGTTTTTTTTGCATCCTTAACTGAACTCCAAGATAAAGATTTTAAAAGTATACAATTGTCACCTTAGTGTAGCAATAGCCGCTGCAAATGGTGGTGTTGACAGCCACACACTGGGTGCAGTTTTCCTTCTCAAGCCATAAGGTATGATTTTTCAGTGTACAGGCACACACTGTCCCCACCATCAACAAACACAGCAGCGAGCATTTTAACACAGATAAAGACATGCTGAAAGTGCAGACACACAGAAACAGGCGGACAGTGAAAAATTAGAGACAGTCAGGATGCTATCACTGCAGCAATATCAATTCGGTAAATTCCGTGCAACCGAAACTGAAGAGAAAAACAAACCTTGACATGGAGTTCAAGTTTAGTTGATTAAATTAGGAGAAAACGTATGAAACTTATCTAATAAAGCTTTGTTCTGATGTTTGTCCGTCTAGACTCTTCCTCTCACTGCGTCCCCCAATTCCTGGCTGTTCTGTCTCCTCTGTTATTCTCTGAATATATATCAAGGGCGCCCATCCTCTTTTATAGAAACCTTAATCCACCTTAAGTGGCCCAGTAGACTTAAGTGTACACTATCATTCTAGAAATCATGTCAGCTATTTACAGTGGTAACAGTATGCATGTGTGTGTGTGTGTGTGTGTGTGTGTGTGTGTGTCCATGAATGTACAGGGATTATTTAACACAGGTCATACAGAGGAACAACAGAGGTAGGAGGTGGTGTTATACTGACAACACAATAAGTCACTGCGGGTTGAGGATGCGGCCAGACGATGCATGTGAAGCGACTAACAACAACTTCTCTGACCCTGTGTGTCTGGTAAGAGCTGATCCATGTGATTGATTAGACACGTTTTAGGCCATAGGAAGTTCAACAAAACAACACTGCACATTGTGTGAGAGGTATTTAGTAGCATAAATCCTCATTTGTGTCACCTAATGAGAAGGTAACCCAACAATCAAAAGGCAAACCAGTAATAAAGATAAATTTGTTAGGAAACACAAAAGTTAAAAAAAAAAAAAAAAAACATACAATTGTCAGTATCTTAAAAACAAATACATAAACAAATTTGTGAAAAATAATTAGCAAAATAATGGCTGCATGTGTTCTATATTATCCCTCAAGCTAAAAAAGCATGACTATTAAGTCATATGTCTTAAGTTTACTTTACTAAATAAATACCAAAGTGATTTTTGACGTAAACATTATTATTGGTCTCATTTGGCTGATGCTGGGTCAGCACGTACATGGTTGTGTCCTACCTGAGTAAAAAGGTTATAGCCTTCTTATCTAAGCCATTAATGCTCACTTAATTCCCATCTGTTCCCAATTGAAATGCCCTTAGTTTGTTACCCCCCCCCTACTAACTAGATATGTTCACCAAACAGATCAAAGCATAAATTACCCTTAAATCTTATGGAGTCTTGAGAAGTTTGAAGTAGTTCTAAGTAGTTCTGAAGCTGTCAGTGTGATAGTTTTTAGAATATGGCATCTATGTGTGAGCTGAACGTCCAGTGCTTAATACACTATAATTAATGTTATTTAAGTGTCAAATGTCATTGAAGTTAACATGTCCAAAAAAAATGTTTTCTACACCAGCTGATGCACTACATTTGCATTTCTATTAATTTCAGAATTTTATTTTATTTTATTTTATTTTTTAAATAGAGGTTAAACTCTTTGATAATTTGCATAAAAATATCCGTCATTTACATGATAAAAAATAAAAATACAGTTTAGGCTTCGTTGAGAAATCTGCTGCTGACAAACAGCATCCTTAAAAAGTTCTATACTGACCCTGACTTTTTACAGCATTCATTTCACTTCATTAGTCACCTATATGCACGGTACAATGTGATCGGTTTCGCCACAATTTTTTTTTTCCTCTGACCTGGCCTCATCTGTTTCTGTGATTCTGTTTTTGTTCTACATTTATCATGATGGGTCACTGTTACGTAACAAAACCATCAGATAATTACAACAAAGTGGGTCGTGGACAGTTCAACAGTTTGCTGAACTGACACACATCCAGCTTTTTTTCTTCTTTTTTTTTTTTTCCTCAGAGCGGCGGATTATTACTTGTGTGAGACGAGATCCATGAGGCAAGAGAGAAATCCAAACCACGGCTGTATATCCCCGGGTGTCAGTAGCTTGTCAGTTCAATACTATATCACAGCATGTAGAATGTCCCAAATTTAACACAAAAAAAAAGAAAGAAAGAAAGAAAAAGAAGAATATTTTTGAAAAAATATTTACCACAGGGAAACTGGTTGTGCATCAGAAGACACATAAACATATGTATTTAAAAGATGAAAAAATGCAGACAATATGCATGTATCTATGTAAATTCTGCATGTATTTAAGTGCATACTGTAGCTGAGGGATGGCAAGGGGATATGATAGGTTTTTATACGCTTTGGTTTGAATAAGGTGACTGAATGAATGTGGCCAGGCATTGCTGTTAATGTCTAAAACTCTTCTGATTGGCCTTCATCTCAGCTCCTTCTCTTACCTTTAATATCTGCAGGTGATGTTTGAGGTGTCCATTTAGTGGCTGACAGTTTTAGTTCATTTAGGAAACTCGACACTCTGTGATAAGGCCTGAAACTGGGTCAGGTAGAAACACGAACCCTTTCTGTTTTATAGCGGCCATGCTCCAAGGTCAGCAGGTCAAAAGTTGACCAACAAGCCATTTTTAGACAGTTAACTTCAGAATTAATTACACAGAACAGGAGAGCACTATAGAAAAAAATGTGTATTTTCTCCCACGTATGTTATACCTGAAAACAATAAACCTAAAAAACTAACAAAAAGTAAGCAGCTGTTGTAAATAAGCATCACTACGTATTTACTATTAGCCCACATATAGGACACATACATGCCGTTTTTCAGCCCTATGCATTGTGTACCTCCCCCAGATAAATGCAGTTAATATTGTTTTAATATTATTGACTTTTTAGTATGAAAATGTAAATCTTGGCTACAGTTAAGATTGTTTTTAACAGTCAGCTAAAGCTCAGTCTGGTGTCTCAGAGGGCAGGACAACTGAGACGTTACGTGGGAAGATTAGATCTGGAGCACACGGGCATTTAATGAGGGGCAGCAACTAACATTTCAACATAACACGTGTCGTTATTGGAGTATGACGAGGCAGCGATCATACAGGTTCTGGCCATATTGTCATTATATATAATAGAATGATAACAAACCCAAACAAACTCATTAAAAAAAAGTAATTAAACGCAGAACGCTCTAATTTCTCAGAACATTATTTAAGGTTCAGCTGAGTTCAGTGAATAAATCAGGCGGTATTCCCTGCATGGCGTTTTACTTACATCCCCTCGGGGAATGTGTAAATATTTTTGAATAACCCAGAATTTGAGGGTAGATGCAGATTCACGATTTGCATTCGTGTAATCATATGCCGTCGTATAATCCAGATTCCTAGTGTTTCTTAGCAGCTTGTATTCTGCAGTTTTCTGTGTGGTAGAATCAAAACAGTGGCACATAGGCCTCCGAGATTGTTAGTACAGACCACAGAACAAAAACTTCATTCTTAATGAAAGTATCTGGTTTTCTTTTTTTATTGAAGAATCAAACTCTAACCCAAATGTTTGGGTTTTTTCTGCTTTGTTTGAGGTGGGGTCAGTTTTCTTTGGGGATTTTTCTTCATTCTGCTGTTGTTTTGGTAATTGCACAGTTGATTTTTGTTGAGCAGGAAAGATTCGTCATTTTATATGAATGAAATGTTTTGAATGTTCCACAATATGAATAAAGTAGTCTGAATTGGGTTCTGGAGCTGTGCCCCACCTCATACATCGCTCTCACCTGCCAGCCGCGAGCAATTCCAAGTCATATCAGCGTCACATC